GATGAAGCAGAGTCTTGTAGAATAGAAGCAGCGTCACGCTGTGGAAAGGGGGGGTCTGTATGTTACCTCGCGCCATATCCCAAAGGGACGCATGCGCTTAAATGATTACAATCAATCAATCAATCAATCAACGCTCTTCCCTGATTCAAAATCCCAACTGCTTGATCGAAAGGTTGTCTCATGGGATTATGGCCGTGGGGTTGATGAGAGCAGTCGTAGTGGTGCAAGCTGTTACGACCTCCAAGCTTCCTCACCCCACGACAACCTCGCCACCCTCACCATTCTCCTTCCACCTCAACCCCAACATCACCTCCACAACCTTCACCATGTCTTCCAACAAACCCCAACATCACTTCCCTTACACCATCATCACCTCCACATTACCACACAACCCCCGCCACTTCGACTATGCAGCCTAACCCTCCAATCCAGGCCACCAGAACTTCAGCTCCACCTACCACCCACTCCGCCGCTTTTCCTCGCCCAACTCCACCTACCAAGATCATCTTCCTCCCAGACGGAACCTCAATTAAAGCCTTCGTGTCTCTCCACACATCTCGTATCATGGGTGACTACAAAGTAGTCCTCGACAAGATGATGTCGGAAAACACCGATGAGCGCAACAAAATCAATATCCGCAAGGCCATCAAGTTTCAACCAAGCTGGTGTGGATCTTAGGGAGATGAGGTCATTGCTGGGGTGGTGGTTATGTGGATTGATTAATTGGGAACCAGATATGGGGCTGACGTTTGTGCCCAGAATTGTAGGTGCAATGCTCAGAGCGTACTATCAGGGAGATGGCTAATTTGATGGGAATAGCGCAGGTTATAGATTTTTGCTTTAGGCGGTGAGATGGGCCCGCATACTGGCCCTGAGAGGATGTTTCGACCAGCGGGATTGCAAGGGTAACGAGCAACGCAGTTCTCTGATGGTTCCGCTTGGAAGGGAGCGAACGGTGTGGACAAATCACGATTGCTCACTCGGATTCCAATCTCTGGTGGCATGGTTTCCTGATTCTGCACCGAAATCCGGATATTGAAGCGTTGCACGACACTGGTTCTGAGGCTTTCACTGTCTACCAGCGCGAGCTGACTTTACTGGATCCAACCAATACATATCCATTGGATCCATTTATCCAGTCGTTATTGCTGGGGGCGTAATCCTATTGCAAACACTGATGGTTAAGCTTCTGCTGATGAAGCCTGATGGGGATACCCCTGTTAGAAACTGGTTTCGCGAAGCAGCTGTGTTACACCCCGATGTGATGCTTCTGGATGTCTTCAGAGCACCGGTGTTTGGCGGCATGGGAAACGTCCAGTATGAAGACAGGAGATTGAGTTGAAGATGGAGATGTCAATAGGGATAATGGACTTAGCCATGGACCCTGAAACCCCTTCGGGCCCTTTTTGGTCACTCGATAATCCTTGCAAAACCATGGTGAGTTGATCAAACTCTGATTATCTAAAACGCTTGCAAACCTTATCTAGACTGTGGTATTTGGTACATACATACATTGGAGCGAAGCACCAACGCATGGGATTTCAACTTATTTTCGACTCCCCACGCCATCAAAACCACCATACGCAGAGCATCGTTCCGTTGTCTCCTGTGAGATCACTAGGAGATGAGTCATATGTCTGGTCTAAGGAAGATTGGCGTTTTTTCAACAACGGTGATATCACGCTTCATCATACTTGTTGCAGGGTACTGGTACTGGTTGGAGATGGAATGTTATTCGCTTAACTATTTGCTTGGTTAATCGTAAAGAAATCATTAGGGCTTTGAGTGAAAAGAAGTCTGGGAGCGAGGAACGTGAATGGGTATCGCTTGGTGCCTGGAAGTCTACCCGCGTAGTTTTTGCTAGATGCATAATTGATATTGGCATCCAGAGTTACCGCAAAGATAATGAACACAGTACCGTCTATTATTACTTTTCGACATTACAGCTCAACATGAAAGTCTACAATCCACTGACCCACCCCCATCCTCCTTCACCTCTACTTTTCCTCCCACTTCCACTTCCTTGCAACCCACTTCATAACCTCTACCAACGCCAACAACACCGGCACCTCAATCAACGGCCCAACCGTCGCCGCCAACGCCTGACTACTCGCGGCGCCATAACACGCGACCGCCACCGCAATCGCCAACTCAAAATTATTACTCGCGGCGGTCAAACACTGCGTCACGGTCTTCCCATACGGCCACCCTCTCCACCTCGCCCATGCCAACACGACCGCAAACACCACCACAAAATACACCAACAGCGGCACGGCGACCCTCACAACCTCCACCACCTTCTCAGCGATATTCCTCGCCTGGCTCGCAAACAGCACAATGATGGTAAACAGCAGCCCTATCAACGACCACGGCGCAATCCAGCGCACGAAATGTCTTTGCCAGCGCTCCTCATCCCCACTCAACAGGACCCCGCGCACCAGGAACCTCGTCACCACCGCCGCAGCCAACGGGATCCCGAGGAAAACAGCGACAGAGGTCGCGACGGTCTCGTAATCGACATCGACGCTCCCCCCAGACACAACACGGATATAGAACACGGCTAGGGGCGCAAACAGCACCATCTGCAGCCCCGA